ATGTAGAAAGAAATTCAAAACCTTCGATTTTCGAACTTTATATCTATGAAAATTTGAAACGTTCGAATTTTTTTTAAATTTAATTTGAATAAATTTGATATCTTCGATTTTTCGAACTTCAGATTCAAAGAAATTCGTAATCTTCGCGAACTTCAGATCCCAAAAAATCGACATTTTTGAATCTCTCGTTTTTAAGTTGGGAAAGTTCGAAATATTCGAATTTCTCGAACCTCAAGTAAAAAATATTCGAAATAATCGAACCCGAACTTTCAGACACTGTGAAAGCTTCGAACATTTTGATTTCAAAACTCCACGGTGTTCCAAAGTTGCGAATTTTTCGATTTCGAACCTAGGTACGGTCGAAAATACCGAAACCTTTCTAATGCGAACCTCAGTTCGGTTCGAATATATCAAACCTTTCGATATCGAACCTAGGGCGGTTCGCGGCATCCCTACTTGTAACAGTAGAAGAGTTACTATTTTTCGAAATCAGCTGTAAAAAGTGACGTCGTTACAGTGCTTCTCAGATTTATGTGCAAAAATATTCCAAACACCACTGCCAAATCGTCTCCCAACTCGTGAGAGTACCATGTCCTGGTACAAGAAGGACACAGCAAAAACTGCTGCAGAAAACGTATGGACAAGCTGTGTGTGGTACATCGCCTACAGCATATGCAGATGTAACAAAGCACGGCATCTATGAAGCCTTTTTCTTTTTGTCGTCCGGCGGAGGCAGCGACTGATTTTTACAGATAAAAGTTTTTGGTGATCGTCGTCCCAAACGCCCGCAGGCTTAGGCACAACCCATTTGCCGAAGCTGGTCTTTTTGCCGCCAAGCGTGCGTTTTCTTCCCCTCAAATTTGAATCGTTTAACTGCCAGAGCCCAGAGGCACTCTTACGGGGTCTCGACTTTAGTCCCCTTTTCTCTCCCTTCCTTTCTTTTTTTTTTTTTCTTTTTTTGCAACCCAATTACCGGCATTGCCTCCCGTCACCCACTTGTCGTCCTTCTCGGGTCCCGTGACTTGAGAAAGAGTATTTGCTCGACACGTCTGTATCGTTCTGCTTGCTTATGTGTTTTCTTGAGGACCAGGGGCTCTTGGCATTAGTTGATATTCACGTCGTGGGCGTTCCGGGTGGTCTCTTCTATTTCGTGTGGTGAGATGGAGGAGCATAAACGAGTTCGACCTGGTTAGGAAGTGGCGGAGAATAGATATCAACAGCCGTTTAGAGTTTTATACGCACTGGTTGTTTCTACCTCGATCAACGCTTATTTTGACGGAAGAATGTTGACGCAACACTGCTCTCCAAGTTTTTAATTTTATCTGCTATTTAATCCACCCATAATGTAGTGATAGATGTTATCATAAATGGCCAAGGAGATTCCTTATTTCAATATGTTATTTCCCCCAAATATTTGACACACCTACTGCATTCTTTCAGTAGCGTCATGGGCATACACAATTGCTCAAGTCCTTTGGCGTGCATTTCCAATTCTTATCTGGTTTCTTTGAAAAAACGAGACTAAACTCAAAGTGTTTTCCCTGGTAGTCATGCATCAGGTTGAATCCACGCAGGCGAGCGCGTTGTCTTTTATTTATGACTGTAGTTGTCTTTCGCAGCAGACAAACGTTTGCGCCACTAATTTTTTGCAGTGATAATTGATGTCATTGCTAAATTCTGCAACAAAGTATAAAAAGGAACGTATTATGAAATTTAACATGATTACACACTTATTTGTCTCCGCAAGCAATTCTTCAGGCCAACTTTATGACATGTACGACACCCGTCTAGCAAAAGGTACTTTAGGAGTGAAACAAAGGGAATTCGCAACACTGTTTGTAGTTAATTTTCAATATTTTCTGCACACAACTACCTCTGGTTTCTGTTACAACTTAAATTTTGACGCGTTTTTGATGTTTTGGCACTAATTTTTCTTTAGCGTCCATAAAAGTCCGCCCGTGAAGCTATAGCCAAGACCCTTGTCATTCAATATTAACTGCTTTTTCTACTTAGGTGTACTGTAACTATTTGGAGTAGTTACTCTGCACTTTCATTGATGTATTCGCCAAGATCATACGTGGTAAAGCGATGATTTTCCCGAATTTTTTCATCGGTTTCTTCATCCTCTCTAACCAGACATATCCTACTGCACCACAATGTTTCACGAACGATCTGTCGCCCACATGAGGCACTAAACTCGATTCCGCACAATTTCTACGCTCATATAGCTGAGTGTTTAAATTTGCCGAATCTGTCGATACTATTTTAATTTAAAACCTGGATGAGCAACTCTTCTTCGCAATAAAAGATACTATGGTAGTGCGGCCGACAGCTGCCGCGATCCTTCGCACCAACACGTCCCCCAGACGGCATTCTCAGAAGGCCCCGCGCGCAGCGGGGCCGATACCCTACTTGCAGTTGGCGATCACTGCATGCTCACCCTCTAGCCAACGAACCAGACAACTTGGGACCAGCGGCCAAGAGAGACGCCGACATTGTGTCTTCATCGATATTCTATATTTGGTCATATAACTTTAGTTCAATACGTTATATATTTTACTAGAACAGACGTCACTACTATAGTGACATCTGCAACCTTATGACTGACCCACCTTCAAAGTCGATTCGTCATTCTACTCTCTTAAACTGTATAAATGCAATGCATAAGCAGCTACAATATTAGGTCTCAAAATGGCATCAGATTGTAAACACTTGACGAGAAAACACAAACGCGCGTGCGCGATTAATGGATAAATAGTCGCGGAACTCCTACTAAGGAAGGTTTATTTTCAGAATAATTTTTATTGGCCTTTTTTTTCTACAAAGAAAAGCAGGACGCAACGACTGAATGCTGCTGTTGCAGCTTGGCAAGGTCTTGAAGCGCGGCACACTTCGACGAGAAAACAGCATTGCACAAAAGCACACACAAAACAAAAAAACAAACACCTTTTAGTGATCTCACTCAGTGCGGAAAAATCGAATTCACGACTCCTACATGATTAACTTAATGATGAATACCGCTCGCAAATCTCGGGCGCTCCAAAAGCGCTCCCTTTCAAACGCGCATATTCCGCTCGCAGATCTGGCTCGAGTTGGTGATCCTCCACTTGTAGATCTTTGGCAGCACACGCTCCATAGAGCGCCTCTAACCCCGCCGAACTCACTCCCCGGGATTTCACATATCTATACGGAACTTGACACAGCGCATACGTCATTTCTTTTTCTGAATAGACAGTGTGCATGCGTGACGAGGTTGTAGAGGTTTCCGGCTGGACCGGTCGGGCCGATCGGGCCGTCGAGTTGGATCTGTTCGGATGCATCGGTTGTTTACGCAGGACTGCGACGGCGCTCGAACTCTCCTACCTCGCGTAGATCAAGGATACACAGCCGGGACTGCAGCGTGGTAAATCATAAGCGCTGACATCTGTGATCACGAGAGGAAGAACGAGAAAAAGAACGATAGAAAATCCCGGCAGCAGACGCAAATTTATGCCTGTTTAATCTGCAGCCAATGATTATTTATCTTTTTACACTGCATGCCGCCGGCGTCTTCTCATGCAATAAAGCAAGAACAGATTATGCAACGATCGTGCATGTGATGGTTTGTTACCTCTTTGTGTTTATTCAAGCCTTCCCAGCAATGTGAATTCCACCGACGGCGATCGCTGTGCGTGTCCCGCCGCTCCAAGTCGGCCGAAAGGTATATGACGGTGGCGAACGCGGACGTCTTCCTTGTTATTTGTCACACGGGCTCCATATGGTACGGACTTTTTCGCCCGGCCTGTGTCACGTGATACTTCTGCAGCTAAACAGTGACGGTTGTCACTGATCGTCGGAAAAATCGGTCGGCTGAAGCGTCGGTAAGCTTGCGAATTTCGATCAGAGGCCATATTGAACGGCCGAGGGGGAAGCGGGGGGAGAGGGGGGGGGGGGGGGGGGAGGGGTGTGGGAGAGGTCGCTCCAAAAAAGCGAGTCCATCTTCCCCTCGTCGATTCGGAGCGGGTCCGACGGAACGGAATTTGGACTCCCTCGCGGATTTCGGAAAGCGCTCGGGATCTACGAGTCTAATTCACCATAAGGCAACGCATGTCACCAATGTAGAGACGTGTGTCTTAATACACAAATAAAATAACTAAACCCTGCAATGTATGAAAAGTTACCTTCTGGCTGAGACTAGTCTTTCTTTTGAAACCACACAACATGCATATATATATATATATATATATATATATATATATATATATATATATATATATATATATATATATATATATATATTTCTTTTTTTTTATAGTGTGTTGGTTCGATGACGATGTATTGTGGAGTCTTTCTCTGCACTCTGACGTTCTGGAGCTCTCCTGTTTTAACAATAGTACTTTCTCGCCTGTTTGTTTCTCTTTTTTTTCATCGGCAGGTGGCATTTTTAGTTCCACGCCGCTTAGCGCGGCTATCCAGAGTATTGCACTCAGCTAAAATAGTGTGCTTTTTTCTTTTTTTCTTTTTTCACCACCAACTTTTTAATGTCTAATTAAAAAGCCTCCATGTGCGTTTTGCTAGGGTGATGTCACTTTTTGTAATACTACTCGCCGACAAACCAGCAGCCATTTTGGTCCTCGGCGATAATCCGTAGGCTTATAACCCTCCCGGAAACAAGCACCTTATCTCACAAGTTCGGAGCAGCGTTGTGGAACCCACAGTGGGAGGATTAGCATTTCCCCCCTCGGATGGGAGGACCGATGGACACAAAGGCCACTTTCCGGCGCACGGGGAAACAATGAGAGGAACAAAATGGCGATGGAAGAGGGTGTTGGAAAGGGAAACAGGCAGTTGGCATCACCTTATGTGAAGCGCACATGAAGGCGCCCGATGTCCAATAAGTTAGGACATTATATAAGAAGATATTACATTCTGTTTTATGTTCAGTGGGCTACTATTTAAAATCCATGCTCAAAACCGCCTCTGCACATGATTCTAGAAATTTCTAGAAATTCGACACGTTCTGAGGAGACAACAGTTTATTGACGAATTAGGTGTTAATTTGTCCCGTAACATCAATGAACGCCCCGGTTATATTACTGCTCTTGGGGCACAAAATCAACGCAATCCTTTCAGATATTTCTACCGGCATTGAGGTAGACAGCGTGGCATTGACGTTCACAACCCGGTTTCGTACAACTTCTGCTGGAGACTGAGAAACTCTAGGGGATTCGGTGACCTCGGGCAAGATCGCGTTAACTCGTATTCCCTTGTTCGACAGCTCCAAAGCCACAGACTTGGTGAAGGCCAGAACTGCGCCCTTTGAAGCCGCGTAGGCGGAAAGACCCGCAGCTCCATCTCTGCCGAAGATGCTCGCGATGTTCACAATGGCACCATCGCTCACGTTTTGAGCCAGCATGGACTTGACCGCTTCCCGTGCAACGAGGAACGTGGCCTGCAATCGAATTCGTATACTTAAAATGCGCAGTGCACCACGCGACCTGTGAGATGCTTAAAAATGCATGACCAAACCTACTCCTCCCAAGAACATTACTAAACACTACATATTATTTCCATAAACGGTAATAAACTTAGCGTACACTGCGATATAAACCTCACTTTGTATAAAAAGGCAGACACAAATGGTACACAAAGAAGCCATGCGAAAGTTGCGCCATCCGGCAAATTTGGCAGACATTGGCACCATGTTCAGCGTATTTACGTCCGGCACAAGATAACGGGCGTAACGTGACTTGAGCGTGGCCACGTCACGTCACCACTCGATAACGTAGTCTACCTTCAAGAGGCTTGTTAGAAATGACCAAAACAAGTGGCAAGTTTTTTTTTTTTTTTTTAAATGATTATGTTTTAATTTGTTAGCTTTCTTAAGATCTCAGGCCCCTTTGAGGCATGTTTCTGCCCATTTATAATCCCCGCGAAATTTAGCGAGAAAAATAACGTCCCATAACTTTAACGAGCTCCGCGCTAGATTTAGCGGGAAAACTGACCTGAACACCAATTCAGTTTCCCCACTAAATTGAGCGGGTCAAATGACGTCACTTGACTACATCTCACGTGACCTATTCACAAATCTGTTGTCCCCGCAAAGATTAGCGGGCAAAACTAGGTCTCATGATGTCGCGTTACCTATCCAGAAATTTAGCTCCCCCGCTCAATTCAGCATAAAATTTTACGTTACATTACTTGATGTCACGTGGCCTCAGCACCAATTCAGCTTCCCCGCATAATTTAGCGGGGAAAATAATGTCACGTGGCTTGATGTCACTTGACCTGGAGACAAAATCAGTTTACCCGCTAAATTTAGGAGGAAAATTGGCACATGACCTTTCCTGACTCTTTAAATTGTGTACGCATCTAATCGCTTAATTAAACACCAAAACATTTGGTTCCGCCTGCCCAAATGGTTCGCCATTAATTTTTTTTCCAGATGAAACTACAGGATTCATGTACATTTTCTTTTGAAATTTTTGGTTTCGTTCATATGCGGAGGGCAAGTTCGTCTGCTTCTTGCGCAGGGGGTAGCGGTGACGTTAGAACGCCGAGCCCTGATTGGCTGATCGCGACCCCCTATCTGAGCGTCGTCTGCCCCTTTGCAACGTCGTCTGCGTCTGTCTTATCTTTCCTGCGACTTTTGGAAGTGTAGGCGTTTACGAGCAAGCTTGACTTCGCCTTTCAGAGAGGGCAGACGAAATAACTCGAATTGTAAGTTGTTTTTGTCTAACAACTATCAGATGCGCATCAAGGAGAGAAGTCAAAGCACTCACTCGCGAGGTGTCCCGAGGCGCCGAGGTTTGCTTGCTAAGAACCGAGAGTGAGGGTGGCTTTCGTGTGCGGCGAGACTCCTCACTCCTTAACGGCGTCGGCGGGCTGGCGAGGTTAACGTCGTCTGCTTTACGTCTGCTAGTCAAAGCGATGGCTGCTTTACCTTTCCTGCGTCTGTCGGAGATTCACCGCTTTTTCACCGGCGAGAACGCGGCCTTGGAAAAAGGCGAAGGAAATTCCTTGAAGGATACGTCCTTTCTTTTTAGGTGAAAAATTTCCCTCCAGTTGCGAATGTCCAGGCGACGTTTAAGAATTGTAGCTACGCGGTAAAGATGACGCTCTCCGATAAAGGTGACATTTTGGAGAGTCACTGTGACTGCCCTCGCGGGGCCACAAAGTGCATCTACTTGGTGGCTACCGCACTTTACGCGGATCTAAATGGACTGTCCATGGCGCACCTTCCACAGCAGTGGCTGCCACGCCCAAGAGCTGCATGCCGGGGCAGGTCGCTCGCTTAAGTAAGAAATAAAGGCCATGTTCATCGCTATGTTAAAACGTTTGGATGCACGAGTTTCCTGAATGGTACCTTGCGTTTAATGAGTTGTCCAAAGACAATCAGCTAAAAACAGCCGATGTAGTTACTGTAAATAAACAAATACGGCTGTGCGATCGGTACTGTGAGCACATCATAACCCAAACGTACTCGACCGCTGCTTGTTGTCACAACTTTCTCGCTAGACTAAAAGGCTGTTGTCAGTGAGCGTAATGGGGTATGTATGTGGGGCGTAAATCCAAGTGGCAAAAGTTTGAAAACCTGTGCGAACCTGTGGAAAAGAGTCCCAGCAAGATCGATCGAGCTACCTGAGCGGCGTCGAACGTATCGCGGAAGTTATGTCGTAGACTCGTTGGCACCAAGAAGTAATTATTGTTATAATGCATTTAAATGCAAAGGTGCAAGCGAGCTGGACAAGAACGGCGAAAATAATCCCTGGAGAAGGGGAACAAGAGGGACAAAGGACAAACACAAATCTTTTTTGAAGGCCGCGTTCTCGTCGGTGAGAAGGCGGTGAATCTCCGACAGACGCAGGAAAGGTAAAGCAGCCATCACTTTGACTAGCAGACGTAAAGCAGACGACGTTAACTGCTCCAACCGCGCCAACCCGCCGACGCCGTTAAAGATTGAGGAGTCTCGCCGCACACGAAAGGAAGGAAAAACTATTTGGGAGCGAACTTGCGGACACCGACCACCCTCACCTCTCGGTTCTTAGCAAACGAACCTCGGCGCCTCGGGACACCTCGCCAGTGAGTCCTTTAACTTCTCTCCTTGATGCGGACCTGCTAGTTGTTAGACAAAAACAACGTACCGCTCTAGTTATTTCGCCTGCCCTCTCTGAAAGGTGAAGTCGAGCTCGCTGGTAAAGTCCTGGATTCCCAAAAGTCGCAGGAAAGGTAAGACAGACGCAGACGATGTTGCGAGCAGACGATGTTGCAAAGGAGCAGACGACGCTCAGATAGGAAGTCGCGATCAGCCAATCAGGGATCGGCGTTCTGACGGCACCGCTATCCCCTGCGCAAGAAGCAGACGAACTTGCCCTCCGCATAGCCCACCTTACTGATACTTAGCACGCCTACGGAATCGGGTGTCTCTTTCGAGGTTTTTTTTTAATATCATGTTTCTCATCTTAACAATGAGTTGAACAACTCATCAAAGACAGCTGCAGAGGACAAAATGAATATTTGTTGTGCGACTCACCTTTAGGTTCGTAGCGATCAGGTCGTCAAACGTTGCGTCACTGATCAAGCTCAGGGGTGTGGACTTCTGCAGTATCTCTGCACTGTTGACCACGAGACTGAGCTTCTTTCCGGGGAAAACTTTTTTGATTTCTTTGAAGAGAGATTGCACGTCGGCGGACTTTCGGAGGTCAGTGAACATCCCCATGTGACCACAGTCCTGGATTGCTGTGAAGGAAAACACAATAATATAAGAACTTTTTTATAATAAAAAGAGCGGGCGTATAGGTAATACTTTGTATTTTTATAACTTAGGAGTTATCTTAATTTCACATGTTCTACCAAAAGATGACTGTTTAGTTTTGAGTACATAGTGCCCCATGACCGTAATGAACCTACACTAATAGTAAAGTACCTGTGCATAGCGTTTTGTGGATTTATACAAAATAGTTACGACTTGGCTATTCGACAAATATCTGCAAATCATTTTCTTTAAAACTTTACTGAATAGTTAATATAGACTGAACTAAATAATATCAACGCAGCACTACAAACTTGAGGTAGTCATTGTTTTTTTTTCTTTATTATTCTTAGAGACTTGCTGTCTTTGACAAAATGAGAGATTGTGATTTGTGTACCTGAATTTGCCGAATTGTTTTCTAGACTTTACCTAGTTTTTACAGAATTTTCATTTTATTTTTGTTTTTGATTTGCAGTGACTTTTTTTTCTCAGGCAGAATAACGTGAAACCTCTCCGTCTACACATGTACCCGCTATAAAATCGGCATATAAGCCGTACGTTTTTTCTTATTAGTATGTCAAAACAATCTTTGAAAAAGAATTACATAATAAATTATATAAATTCATATATGCAACAATATTCTTTTGTGCGCTAAACAAACAAGGAATTGCTTGTGAATGAAACACCCCCTCATGCATGACCACAATAAACGCTGAAAATATAAAACATACAAATAAAATTATACATATTTAGCCACGCCAAACACCGCTCCCTCCCCCCCCCCCCCTTCCTTTTCCAAAAAAGAAATACATGGAGTCGGAGTGTGGGAGGAAGTACATAGAAGTGACGACATTTCTAAATGAAATGGGCTATAAAAACGAGAACAACATAGCAATAGTTTACATGGGTACTAAGGGTTGACCGTTTAGGGATATAGTCGTTATGTTAACGGCTGATTTTGATGCTTAACGTAAAAAAACGTTCTGACGTAAAAAAATCGTGTGCTGATGGACAGTACGTTAGACTTGCAATTTAATTGTGGTCAATGCTCTGAATGAATAAAGTACAGGTATAAAATTGGTAACGGTTTGTTACTGGCTTTTAGAGATTTAAAATGTACTAAAATTTACCAACCTCCAAATTAGGAACGTACAAGCATAAAACTTCGTGAACTGAGGTATGCAATGTGTCTTATTTTTAACTCAAACGTATTTATTTCCGAAAAGCCGTGAAATTTAGATTAATTCGATTTCTGCCACTGATAGTAGGTTTTACAGCTAGAGGGACATAAGAGACACATTAAATCTAATATCTACACTAGACGTTTGAATTAACTTTCTAATTTGCGATACTTAACATACGAAACAAATTATGAACTTGGGGAACATCCTATAAATCACTAAATCAGTCAATGTTTAACAAATTTGAAGAACGTGATGGGCGCTGGGGTGTCCTAAAGGTTTTACTTGGGCGGCAGGAGCAACGCTGGTTGCTGCAAACGCCCATGAAAAGATGATGATCCACGTTTACGAACCGTCGGCGTTGCGCCGGCTGTACAAGTGAAAACTTTAGCGCACCCCGGGGCTTACCACGAGGTTAATTTCTTTTTTTTTTATTGACTGAAGACGTTAAGCGAATTTCGGACTGAAATTAGGCGTTTATTTTTAATAATCAAGAAGATATTCATTAAATGTTAGTTAATTACCCGACTTATTGTGACGTTTATCATTCTATATTAAATCCCCTTGGTCGTAAAACTCTCCTGCATAGACCAAAATAGAGTAAATTTCACAAAAATCTTGAGATAAATAGGTTTGAATTAAAATGAACTACCTTGTGTACCGAGCAACCGACACTTCATCAAAATGCTAAGCTAACACTTTTAAATGAGCATGTATGTACAAACGTGTATGGCCATCATTATACTATACTCGAATGCTGCTATCAGAAAAGGGTCCGAGACAACAAAGCGTATTGCTTAAATAAAAATAAAGTGATCAAATACAGTGAGCATGCGTTACATTACCACTGAGATCCACGCAGCATTCCGCTTGTGTAAATGAAGTTCAATAACCATCGCATAAGTTTTAGAGTCAATCTCAATAGGTGATATGAATTGGCTGTTATGACAAGCAGCAAAATGGCTGTGGAAGCGTTCATAAGAAAGTGTTTTTATCCAAGACAAGAGTGCCAGAAAATGCACACCAACCTCGTAGCATTCTGATGGTTTCTTCGCCACCTGTCACATTTCTGTCAGCAATGAAGACGGTCACTCCTTCACGAGCCAGCACTTTGGCGACGCTACGGCCAATGCCGCTTGCTCCACCGGTGACAAGTGCTAGCCGACCGCTGAGTTGTAGGGAAGAAGAAGTTTCATTGCAATATCTAGGACTACTGTCTTTACCCACAGCTTCGGACGTGGGCAGCTTCCATGAAAGGCTACAGCAAAGTACAAAGCAGAAGCCTATTCGGGAAATGATAGACATTTTGACGAATTTCTAAGTACTCTCTAAAAAAGTAGAATAGACGTGAGAACTGTCTGCTCCGAAGAACATCGTTAACAGCCCGGTTTTTATATAGTGGTTTCAAGATCGATGCAAGGGAGAAATATTATCGAACTCCAAGAGACGTTGAGATGGTAGGGCCACGAAAATAAAGAAACCGCTGTGAATGCTACATTACCCTCGGTCACTGCCTTCGCTGATATCGGGGAAAATTCTTGACTGCGCAAAGGGCTACGCTGTTAATCTTTATACGCATCCCCCGATTAAAACTAAGCATATGAACTAAGTCGTGTTAGGTTCGTGACATGAATTGAACAAGAGCCCCCCCCCCCCCCCCTCACAAGAAAAGAAAAGATGCTTTTGACCTCATTCTTGGTTGAAGTATCATTAGTGCTCTATCTATGGCGGCCGCCTTTTGTAGTTGACATAGAGCTGACATCGCCTTACTGGGGTCTTTGTCCAGTCGTGCGACTCGTGCAAGCTCCTGTTATCTGGCGGTGTGGGACGTAGGGGGCATCGGGTCTAGGCAGGAAACCGCGAACAGCACGAGCAGCAAGGTCAAGTAGAAAAGATTTTTAGATCGAGTGTCGTCCTTCAGCACCCTTCGGCACTTTGAGCTAAAATAAGGCAAAAATAATTTCATCAATTTGGTCCAGTCATTTGCGTGATTCTGTTTACATTTTGGCGAGTGTTGTGTAATCTTAAGTTTTTTTAAAACTTTCGTAAAGTGTGTAATTTCTCTGATAAATCTTCCGATAGAATTTTTAGTAAAAAATGTTCGACTTAGACCGGTATAAATTCTAATTAGAACACGTTTTAGGTGAAAAATCAAGAAGAGTAACAGTTTATCCTTACGCGCATGCAAATACAAGATTATATTTTTAGCCTATGAGAACCTTATTGGATTTCACGGTCACTGTAATACCGCTAACCTCTCTGTCAAAAAAAAGGAAGAGTAATATAAATTATTTCTTGGGGAATGCCGCTACACAGGGAAATCGATCAGCGCGTAAGAAATGGCGATATTGGTTTAAAGCTGCAGAGGAGAAATTTTGACAAGTGCAGTATGACATAATCTGGTCTCTATATCGTGCGCAAGCTAGCTGTGGTCACACATCAATATACAGGTACAGCGGACATTTATAACTAAGGTAGGGGCTGAATCCAGGAGGTGCTTCCGTGAGATTCACATAACAGATTTTTAAAGCAGAAAATGCATTTCAATGCTTTCCCCCCTCGAAAAAAAAAATGATTCTGCTCGTTTGTTTTTCTCCGCCCGTGCATTTCCCGCTAAACTTACCGGGAAAGTTAATGTCACGTGACCTATCCACCAATTCAGTTTCCCTACTAAACTCCGCGGGGAAATTCATGTCACGTAACATGCCGTCACGTGAACTATACACCAACATAGTTTCTCCAGTAAAATTTAGCGCTAAAATTGAAAATCCAAATCCCTACATTGCATTTCATCCGTTATAGAAATTTAAAGGAAAAGGACGCTGCCAACTTTTTTATTATTATTTTATTTTGAAATACTGTCGGCCGTTCATTATGGTCATTACAGGAGGGTGGTTTTTATTTTTTTTTAAATTGAATCTTATGGATTAAGGAATAAACCAGGGTCCTTAAACTAGAAAGCACAGACGCTCACCTTGATGGAAAGTGTATTTTTTCAACAACGTTTGCCCCCGCGGCTTGAAAAAAAAGCAAGAAAATATGACAAACAAAAATGTACAGTTTTCTTGTTAAAAAAAGTTTCAATATTTGTGAACACGGTGTTGCCAAAGATATGCAACAATCAGGCATACAAGCGCCCCAAAATATAAAGTCATGTCAACTTCAACTAAGAAAAATTACGATATTTTTGTGTTAAAAATGGAAAACACTTTATGTCACAGATTACTCGCATCCAGAAATCTGTAGACTTCGAAATTAACGCAACATTGTGAAGCTCTCGTACACCAACGTGCGAAAGCGTTAGTTCAAGCAAAATCATGATACATATTGAAAGCAGCCAGTACAAAGTGGTTAACGGTCTCATTTTGTTACCAAAAGAAAAAGAAACTACAAATAATAATTTTTTTTAAATACAATTTTGGAAATAATAAATTCCTAAAACCGCAACTTTGAGCCAAAATAAGGAAGAGATAATTTCATCAATTTGGTCCAGTCATTTACGTGTTTCAACTCACACTCTGTCGATTGTTGTATATAATTTTCACTAAAAGGACGTTCCCCTTAGACTGGTATAAATTCTAATTAGGACACGTTTTAAGTGACAAATCACAAAAAGTATCAGTTCATCCTTACGGGGATGCAAATACAAGATCATATTTTTCTCACGGCAGTGAGGCACAAAAAACACGCACGCTTTACCTTGGTGATCGCCAGTGCTTTTAACATTTCGACGCTTCCTCTCTGCCTCATATTTTCGCTTGCCGAAATTAGAGATAAATCATTGTCTCCCAGAACGTAACTGTTCTCGCTAGCGATTATTCGGTGGAAGATGCCTTTCGTCAATGATATTCGTGCCTCGCGAAACACGAATTACATTGAGCACTTTCTGCAGAATCTCTTCAAGTGAATCTAAATGTCTATCGCAATAAAAAAATAATAAAGAAATAACTTTTATTGCATGGGTAGCCGGGAGGTTCGAAGTATCACGCTCATGAAATAACTTTTGATTGCCGTGATGAACTAATAGATCCATTCAAAATTCAGCCTGAAAACTTTTATCAATATCATTATCTCATGTATGACATCTGCGGGAAACTGATGGATGCCTTTATAAGGTTGATAACGGGAAGAAGTTGAAGATGCGATCAAGCGGAGGCTGTATACGACAGGTGCGTTCCAGACGGATGTACTATTAGATGCACGAATTAAAGATAACTGCTACGTAAGTGTTTATTTAGGAGAATTGTCCAATCAATCTCTAAGGGCCAGTTTGGCTCTAAGCACTTCAGATTGCGAGAATATAATCAAGGGGCTTACAAGTTGCTGCTTTAGTCTGGCCAGTTTTTACGTTCTCGCTATCAAAAGGAAAACAAATAAAGAGAGAATTATGTGGTGATTAAAGATCGAATTCTCCTCTGCCATTTACATGTGAAAGTGACGGTTCTCGATCAAACACAGTTCCATGACCGTCACTAGATCGCCGACAGTGAAACTGATTTTTGAGCCTCCAGATGGCACAGAACTTTGGAAAGGGTCCATTGACCAGATCTAGATCCCCGTATCTCGAAGGGGCTATTAGTACGAACTATCATATTATCATTGCTCTCATGTCAGGTGGTCTTGGCCAACCATTATTTTAATAATTTTGTTATATAAATTGTCTACTTGAACGTGACATTAGATCGAAACATGGTCCGGCGGTTTCAGGAGTATAACTTACATCCACCGTCTTCGCAACTGATTGCCGTTTTTAGAGCGCACTTCTTAGGCGCCCGCCCTTAGCGAAAACTAGGTTACTTTAAGTATACTTTACGGTCTTTTAAGATACTCATTCTCAAGAAGTATACTAAAATTGTCCTTAAAGGATGCTAGCCAGAAGTAGGCTTGTACTATTAGTGTCCTTTCTTAGTATGCTTGAAGTAAGTACTGTAATAGTATACTTTTAGTAAACTAGCTAAGACCTAAGTAGCTTCTAAGTTCATGCGAAGCGTCTTACTAGTAGCCTGTCCTGGGTATCTTTTAGTGCACTAGAAGAACGTTATGGAAGTAAGCTGGAAGGATCTTGTAAGTATTCGTGCAGTGACTTATCAGTTGCCTCTCTAAGGTTTCTTTTAGTGAACGAAAAGTTTACTATGGAAGTGCGCTGAAAGGATAATCAGAGCATGCACCGAGTATGCTTAGCTGCGCTCACCATGAAATGAGGACAACATTGTGCTTCGTCGCTGTGTCTGTGTCATGAAATGGCGTCAGCAGCTCGCGTTGTTTCGAGCGCTGTGGCGTTTCAGTGCTGTACGTGAGCCCCCTGATCAAGTTCTCAGCGTTCCGGTGGCAGGCGTGACCGACTACGTCTGCGATTGCACCGTCCCAGAATGAGTGTAGTGACCATTATAAGTTGCGCACACGCTGTGGACGCGTAGCTTCCCGGCGTGGCGATCAAGAAATGAGCCGCCTGGAAACGACAACAATAGTCGCGTTGACGCAGTGGTTACCCCTCACAAGAGCGCAAGAAAAACTGTGAAAGGTACGTTTAGTTGATATCTTCAGGAATATGAAAGGTAGCCGCTGCAGTCTCAGCGTAGTTGTTGTCGTTTCCAGTTCGTTCTGGTTACACGGACGCGGTGAGCAGCCTGCAACAGCGAGTGAGATACGCTATTACCGTTTGATCCACCAGCTTCGGGAGGCTGATATCACATCGCAACCCGCAAAAGTCAGGCGCTTGGCGGATGAATCCGAACACCGCGTACAAAGAAAGTGATTGCTTGGTGACAATCAACAAATATGCGAGCATAACCGACTACGTCTGTGATTCCATCGTTTAATCATCAGTGCTACGTGTTATTTGCCCCACCAACATCACCGAGCAATCTTCTGTCGTCGATAGTTCTCAGTCGGATTATAAAGCAGTGCAGTTTGTGTAGTGGTGCACCGGGTCGCGAAATCGATGCTCCTGAGTTTCGTCGACGCAGAAAAAACAAGCTTCATCGTGTCTGCGTCTGAGAGCTCCGCGTGGTTTCATTGCAATGTTAAAATTCGAATGATTTGGGGTCTGTTGCTGTCGTGACGCGTTTGAGTTCTTGGTATTTCTATCAGTCGCGTGCGTGACCGACCATGTTTGCAAATACGTCGCTTTTTAAACTTAAGCTAGGTGGCGCAAGCTACCGCCCGTTACAAAGTGCGTTGCAAGGTGCCGCAGTAGTATCCATACCCATACAATCATCCAGATGGTGCCGGATTGATCAGCCGTCAGTTTTGTTGTCTTTAAATAAACCCGTTTTTTTTATGAACGTTCGATGATGTTACTTCGAAAACTTTAGCATTCCGAAGTGGGATTACCGCTGAGCCTCCCCGGAACAGTGGTGGCTGCGACAGCCACGTTCACGCCGA